CAGGAATCCCTGAGGATAATTTTTATCAAAGAACAGTATGAATCCAAGCTGCATGAACTTAAACATCAATTGTCCATGTCCAAGAAGCATGGCGAAGAAATTCTGATGAAATTACAAGATGCCATTGATGAGATTGAAGCTAGGAAGAAAGCTGAAGCTACCCATTTAAAGCGGAATGAAGAGCTGGGAGATAAAATATTGAAACTGGAGGCTGAGCTACAATCTGTCATCTGTGATAAACGTGAAAAAACAACAGCTTACGATATGATGAAGGCTGAATTAGATTGTTCATTATTAAGCCTTGAATGTTGCAAGGAAGAAAAACAGAGACTCGAAGCTTCCCTTCAGGAATGCGTACAGGAAAAATTGAAAATGACCCAAGAGCTTGAATTGATGAAAGAACCAGTGAAAGCTCGCAGCTCAGATGAGAATTTTCAGATGGAAGAACATGATAGACCGAAAATGGAGGATTTTGTGGATTTTGTGTCAGATGAGTTAGCTGGCAAAAATATCGGTGACAAGAATATAATGGCAGCACCTTCAGGTGACACTATGGACCATGAGGAAAGGAAAGGTGCATGTTCAGTTCCTAGTGAGGTGAGCAACAGTCCTAGGTCGATAATTCAGGTGACCTATTCATTCTTCAAATATTTTTTTTCCGGGGAAACCGTTCTCAAAGTTGAATGTTAAGTATATAGATTCTTGAAACTGACACCAAAAAGAATACGTCTAGATATTTTATCCCGTATATTCTCATCGTGATCATTTTATTTACGCTTATCTTTCAGCAGCGTAAGTGGAGATGGTAACCAATTAACTTCCAATGGTGAAGAAAAGCTGGCTTTGATCAATGATAATTTCAGGGCAGAGACTTTAAGGTCTAGCTTGGATCACTTAAATGATGAGGTAATTGCATTAAAATAAAATATGATGGACAAGGGTTATGTTGCATGGCGATTTTATACCACAAATCTTCTTATTGGTTTGTCGGCACAGTAAAGTTTACGTTAATGACTCGTATTTCGGGATCTATTTTGGTATTGCTCCAGCTGGAACGAATGAAAAACGAGAATTTGCTTCATTGTCAAGATGATAATGAATCAGACACACGGTTTCCAGGTTTGGAAAGGGAGCTGATGCAGTTACGTCAGGTATCTGCCTTAAAATAAGCATTCAAGTTTTTTTTTTCTGTTGAGAGATGTATATGTCTTCTCTGAAATCTTGTAATTGTCTTTTCCAACAGGCAAACGAAGAACTCCGAAGCATTTTCCCTCTATCTAATGAACACTTTAGTTTTGGCAATGCATTGGAAAGGGTTCTTGCTCTGGAAATAGAACTTGCTGAAGCGTTGAGAGGCAAAAATAGATCAACCAACATCCATTTCCAGAGGTACATTCAAACTTGAAATTTACATCCTTGTATTGCAAAAAAAAAAAAAAAAAAAAAAATTTGGGTTCTAGAGTAGTGTCTCTTGAATTTACCATGATATCAGCCATAGATGATGGTTGCTTCAGGGTCCAATACTAACAATGGATGGAAAGCAACTCATGTCATCATCTTCCTCGACCTTACATTTCTATTACCATAGCAAATGCATCAAGGAAACAAAACATCTTATATCATAAGAGTCAAGATTCTATTACCAGAGCAGAAACTGATGGTCTTTTTTGTCTGAAATTGCAGCTCTTTCTTGAAGCAACACAGTAATGATGAAGCAATATTCCGGAGCTTCAGAGACATAAACGATCTAATCGAGGAAATGCTGGAGACAAAAGGTCGGTACACATCAATGGAGACAGAACTGAAAGAAATGCACGACCGATACTCTCAGCTAAGCCTAAAGTTTGCAGAGGTTGAAGGGGAGAGGCAGAAACTGATGATGACTCTGAAGAACGTTCGGGCATCCAAGAAGGCACTGCTCTTGAACCGTTCATCATCGGACGAACATTAGTTGATCACAGCTCATAATCTTGTCTTCGTTTCAGGTTAGGAGACAAAAAAAAGAATGGTCATAAATATCATATACATATAGGTATGAAGCTTGTTTTTGTTATGCAGCCCCTCTTAATACTATTTGCAAGTTAATATATAGTTTATAGATAGCTTATCACCTTATCTTCTTGTTATGGGATTCTATGGTATTGTAGTCTCCCTCTCTCTTTTGTATAGAGAACCCATATTCTATAATTTAAAAAGAAATCATAACTTCAGTTGACAGAAGCGTACAATAACATGTTTTTGTTGAACAGTAACCCATGTATCCTTTGCTTTTGCCCCCCTCAAATCTTGTTCTAAACACAACGTATGAAATCACATCTTCAAGAACCACAGTTTCCAATCCAACAGTACAATGGCTTGAACCACTTTGACAAACAATGAAGAAAATGAACAACCAACCACACAGGATACTAAATCTTTATACTGGAGATTCCGTGTTTTCATGTGCATGCCCACCAGCTTGTACTGAAGGAAACTTCTTGATGCTGATGCTTTGGAAGCAGTTTCATGGAGCATTCAGTAACCCATCAGCATGACATATAAAAATCTATAGAGTGCATTACTTGGGGCTACAAAATGGAGCATGCACACCTGTTCTTTATCGGAGGATCATTCTGCAGTTTTTCTGAGGGGAAGAAAAATTCAAGAGTATGAGATATCATATGCAAGTTGAAGCCTTGAACTTCGATAAGTAGCAACATAATCTATGAAAAAGATGGGATTTTAAAGCGTGTAAAAGAAATATTTGACCATAACTAGCTATATACAAGAAGAGATAAGAATGAGCAGCTTCTAAAAGAGATAGAGATGCAAGAAAGATTGTAGAATCGGGGTCACAAGAGTGCTTCTGAATTCAGCAAAGGTGTCTTCTTTATGCTATATTATAAACGGTAGACTGGGAGATGGAAATGGAATTACCACTCTTTTTGTCTATAGTCGGAGGACGAAGAACAACATGCATTGTGATCACCATTCCAGGAAGTTCACCAACTGGAAGCCTAGATTCAGCAAGCGTCCGGTTGTTCTCCAGTATTTTCCCGGCATTGATAAGTTTCACATCGTTTATTGTCTTTGGAGCATTATCTTTGTCTGAAAAAACAGCCAAACACTCGAATTCAATTCATAAACAACCTCAACTAGTAGAACCACAGAAGAAGTAATGCAACATATTCTCACATTATGAGCAGAAATTCAAAGCATCCAACCACAGAATCCATTCACTATAAGGATAAAACTCCATTAAAGCTCTACTACTAGTGAAACCTATTAAGAATACTTTTAAAGTTCAGTTATATGGAGAGCAAATCATAGGCGAAAACAATTACAGAATCCATTCACTATAAGCCCTAGAACTGCAAAACAAGGAATCTATCACCGCATCAATCAAAAGGTGAAACTACAAACTCAATCAATAGTTGCAAATTACAGAAACAAACCATGCGCCTAACTGAACTTGATAACACAACCTACATGCAAAGCCAATACGCCGTTCCGTAATCTCATAGAAAGAACAGATTGAAATTCACGAACTTGTAACATTTCAGAACAAATGAGACAGCGGTAAAGGATTCCTGAAGAACAAATCACGAACTCGGAAGACATGTTTTAAACAATCAGACCCAATCAGAAAATGACCCGACAGAAAATAACAGAACTTGGGTGAAAGAAAATAAACTCAGCAATCGAATCAAACAGCCATCATCAAAATCATGAAACTGTTTAAGAGAATCATCAGCATCAAAAACCTTACCTTTAGGCCATTGGGCAATGATTTTCTCTTTGAGAGACGCCACGGTCATAGATTGACTGTACTTGCTCGGACCGATGTCGGATCCATCTGCAAGCCTAAACTTGAGCTCAATCCAATCTTCACCTGACATGTCTAAATCCCCCCAAAAACCAAAAACCCACTTCCAATCTTCACTCAGAAATTCCCTTCACCACAACAACACATCGATCTCTCAGGGGAAAATCATCGAGAACAAGACCGGATTGTACATCAATCCGACAAGAAGCCGGGCCCAAACAGAAACTAACAAAAACCCAGATCGATTCTTATAGAAAATTGCAAAACCCTACTGGTAAAGCACCAAAACAGACGCGTCAAAGATCGAATAAGGATTCACTGCAAAACACCAAACTGTTCTCTCTTTATGACTGAGGAAATACGTAACTACAGCGATTGCTTGTTCTGACAATCAGCCGCTCCAGGAACAGATCCAATTATACCATTCCTAGCTACACATGAGGAACTTCAGAAGAAGAAGACGAAGATCCGAAGAAGAAGAAGACGGACACTTTCGTTGAAAGGTTGTGTTTTTTGAACGAAGAATAAGAAAGGAAAAGTGAATGGGTCTCTCGTCAAAGTGAGATTCTTCAAGTGCTACCTGAATCTGGAGATTAATCTGAATGACAGCATCTCCAATTTTACATTTCTACCCCTTCTATTACCCCGTATTTACAAAATCAGTAAATCCTATCCCCCGTATAATTATTATATCTTACTAATTATCATAAAATTACATTCTTCAAAATTTTGATCTATTTATGTATTGGTAAATGTGAATATTGAAAAAAAAATAACTGTTGCATAATATTTTTAAATCATTAAAAAACGCTTAAAATTGCATCACACCATATAGATTTATTTATATATATCATGAATAAAAAATTATTTGGAATTCGAAAACCAACATTGGAAAAAGGCAAAGATTCTAGAATATTAAAATTGAGAAAGTGGAGAAGGTGTGCTATTCCGATTTTCTAATAATAAATCCTTTGGCACCTTATTTGATATTGACCCAACATTAATATCTTTTTTTATAATCAACATTTTATTCTGTACACCCACTTTGTCTATTTAAATCATTGATGGGTTTTATTCTTCTTATTAATTTTTCTAATATATACTATATAGCATATATCCTCTCTCCACCAATACATATATATATATATATATATATATGTGTATGTATGTGGAAACTGTATCTCCTTGGAAGTGGTTGGAAAATGGCAGCCACCAACTAAAACAGGAGATTAACTACCGAATCTATTTGGAAATAATAAATTACAATATTAATTAATAAATAATCTGTCCCCTTGCCCGAATAATGGGGGCAAGTGTGTTATATGTTTTAAAGTTGTTTATATTAAAAAAACAGAAGTTATACCAGAAATAATAATACTAGATTAAGAATGAGATATTAAATTGTTTATATATAAGTTGAAGCCTTGAACTTCGATAAGTAGCAACATAATCTATGAAAAAGATGGGATTTTAAAGCGTGTAAAAGAAATATTTGACCATAACTAGCTATATACAAGAAGAGATAAGAATGAGCAGCTTCTAAAAGAGATAGAGATGCAAGAAAGATTGTAGAATCGGGGTCACAAGAGTGCTTCTGAATTCAGCAAAGGTGTCTTCTTTATGCTATATTATAAACGGTAGACTGGGAGATGGAAATGGAATTACCACTCTTTTTGTCTATAGTCGGAGGACGAAGAACAACATGCATTGTGATCACCATTCCAGGAAGTTCACCAACTGGAAGCCTAGATTCAGCAAGCGTCCGGTTGTTCTCCAGTCTTCTCTTTGTACATTACTAAGAGCATATATTCATATGCTTGTTCGGTCCACCATTAGAGGGATACTAAACGCGTATATATTCACATATATACAAAATATATGTGTATGTATGTATATATGTAATTTTTATGATTTTATTATTTTTATTATTTAATATAATTAAATAATTTCATGTAATAATTCAATAGTAAAATTGTGTGTAGAGTTTTTTAATTAGCATTTTATTGTTAAATATAATAAATAAAAAGTTTAATAGGATTAAAAAAAAGGTATAGGCTATAAAATTGCAATTTTTTTTAATTAATATCAACGTGTGCGCATTTGAACCGACCAAAGAATATGGCCAATCTTGATGGGCTTTGCCATTTGGGCCACCTCCCATGAAATCCAAAACAAAATACTTTTGGGAACCATTTCTTTGCTCCTTGTGAATTGATTGAAATGGGCCCACTGCTATAACCCACATTACACACAGTACAGCCACTTTATACAATTCCCATCATATCTACTGCATATATATATATATATATATATGTGTGTGTGTGTGTGTGGATAGACATATACCTGTATCAAGCTTTTGTTCTCTCTTGCTGTGGTGATGATGATGATGATGATGATGATGATGATGATGATGATGGGTGTAGAAGAATGGCAACAGCCGACCTTTGACTATATGTAGGATCCATGATTTTAACCTAAAGAGAGAAACTTTTACGATTTTAATTATTCATACTGTGGACCTAAAACAAAAACATTATCCTGTTTGTCTAATTTTATCTTATTTTGTGTTATATTTGATAATTATACAATCATATATATACATGTTTTTTTTTCAATTATTCTCATCCCGCCCTTTGAAGAATAGAAAAAAAAAGAGAGGACCCACTTCGGCTGAGGGAATTGGAGTCGAGACTTGGACCATAAGGATGGCATAGACTCTCATAGCTAAGCCATACATATACATATACATATACATATACATATACATATATAGGGAATATGTAATGTAATGTACTGTATGGATGCAGTGTAACTCATATATATATATATATATATATATATATATGATAGTTATATATATTATATGCCTATCAACCTTAGGATGACTCTCCCTACCACTTGTTGATGCCACAGCTGTCCACCCTCACTTTGATATGACTTGTTAAAGCCACAATCTTCATCATTCTTCTTCTTCGTTTCCAAAAAAAAAATGAAATTCAACAATTAAAAAAAAGACTTCGAGAATTTTACAATAATTAAAAAATAATATCTTAACACATGGTATTTTATTATCTTATAACATATATACGAGCAATAGAATCATAGTAGCCATGATTTTTTCGAATTATGACAATTTATTTTGTAATAATATATATCATTTGTATAATAATGTACATTGAAGAAAAATATCGTGTATCATGGAATTTTAACTATTGCGTTTTTTAAAGTACATTTCTTTTTTATTTTATCGTTAGCAAAAGTGTATGACTTTTTATAAAAAAAATACAATAAAAATATTGTAGTGTTTTTATGGTTTTGACTACAACATTTTTTGAAGTGATATTTCCCTATTCAAATTATTTATGTATTTTAAATATATAATTATCCGAACTTTATGGAAAATGTTAGTTAAAAGTTAAAACACTGCTAATTAGCCGTATAACTAATAATAGCAATAATATAATATGGGGAATTTTTTTGGGCCAAAGATAAAATGAGAAAACTCTGTTCTTTTTACAAGGTTGAGAAAATTATGGTAATCCAGTTGTTAAGTTGTATGATTGACACGTGTCCTTGGTACATTTGACGTGCCTCTTTTTTTTTGCAAGCAACGCACACCTGCTTTTAGTTTAATTATTAATATTTTATTTTTTGATTAAAAAATAATTATATTAAATCTAAATATGATTATATGTTATTTTAAACAAGGAACAGAAAGTTTCATTGCTAAATATCTGACTATGCCACTTTATCGCCTTGAAATCTTCTAAGTATATAATGAAATAACTAATACAATATACCCCTGCTTTAAATAAAATTAAAGTAAATGCAGAAATCATTTTATATATATCAATGTAAAACAAAAAAATCGCTGATAGTTATACATCATACATAATTAACATATATTTGTATATATAATTTGACAGTTTTTATTAATTTAACATTCTAACATATCGAAATTATTTTTCTCCAATGACTTAACTGATCTCTTACAACATATAAAAACAAAATACCGTTTTCTATAATAATAATAAAAATTCTAAATCCCAATAAGATCGAAAATAAACTAGAGCGACAAATATTCATTAATAACAAAGAATCATATGATAAAAAACCACGATGACACCTTAAAATTATCCAACTAGACAGCTAAGAGTTCATAATTAAAAAGGTGCATATTATATAGTCCCCAAACATATAGTTGAGATAATAAAGAAAACAGCAATTAATATTCTATAGAATCATTTTCGAAATGGTTAGAGGAATTATGGACCAATACAGTTGTTTCCTTCTACAAAACATTAATAAGAAAAGGAAACATTCTCCAATCTATTTTGCTCATGTTTATATATTGTAGTAAATACACTGACCTATATACTCCTCCTTTGATGGCTCTATGCACCGCCCTAATTATATTCTCTCTCCTTCATTTTCTTTCCCTTTCTTTTCAAAAATTAAACCATATATACATATATATATATATATATATAGCTTTTAAATTATAAATGTTGATGTTAAAATTAGGTTAAAATGTCCAAAACTTTATAGGAAAAATGTTTGGACGACGAGAAAATTCGGAGAGAAAGTTTTTGAAATAAATAGAATAGTTCGGATACTTCTATTATAACCATTGAAAAATTTTATATAGATAAATTCGTTTAAAAAATCAGCGTATTTTTTGTTAGTGTAACTATAGATCTAATAAGATCATTCATTACTCAAGAAATTGAATTGATTTATAGTAAACATTTTTTTTTTTGCAGTCATTCATGTATGTCCCTATGTTTTTTGTAATAAATAATTTTTTTTTGTTAAACTAATAAGTAATTTTTATAAATTTATTCCATATTTAAAATATATATTTTGTTGATAAAATCACTATACGATATATATTTTTTTATTAATTTGATTGTTTAAACCTCACCTACCTGGTGAACTGAAAGCCTTAAATTTTATTTTGTATAACATGTTATTTAGCAATATTGTATTCTCATCATCCTCCCCATACAACACCCTTTATAAAATACTTTTTACGTACATCCTTTTATGATAATTCCCCTAATCTCACACCTAATCTTGAAATTTAGCTAGATAGTGTTAAAGAAATTGATTTTTCATCATAAGCATAATATAAGATTTTAGAATATAGTACAAGGGCGAATAAGAATAACGGAAAAGTCATGATATTGGATACACCCAAAAAAATTATTGATAAAAACACGCACTAAATATTGAAATCAAATGTTACCATAAGGTACCAAAAGCATATATGTTTTATATTTTGTTTGACAATAATGATGAGAGTAATGAGATTCTAATCTACCAAAGAAAATAAAAAAAAAAGGATGGGAGAGCTTCTAGAAAGAACAATAAACAAATTTATAAATTAAACATCGATTCACATTCTTCACTATTGATTTTTTTTTTTCTCTATTTTCAAATCTTTTTTTACCATTATTAATAATATAATTTCCTATAAAAAAAATAGAATTTTTTTTGACATATATATTACCAAATCATCCTTCCTCCTCTGTAGGAGACACCCATCATTTGCTCTCAACAGTCACTTTCATCCTTAGAAATCTGAGCTGCTGCTGCTGCTGGCTGCTTCTTTCTCTTCTCTCACTCCCTTCCAATCTATACATACACACATACACATATAGAGACACACATACACGCGCATTTATACTTCCCAACCTCTATATAACCTTTTCTTTTCTCCATTCTCTCTCCCCTTCAAAGTTTGTCTCGCCTCTCTTGTCCACTCACCAAAACCCACTTCACAAGATCGGATCTTTTTCTAGGGTTCATCAATGGATCCGTCTTCTGCAAACTCGGTGAACGGATTCTACTCATTCCTCAACAGATCAATGGAGGATCTCGAGAGGGTCTATCACTCGAACAACTTCATGTCCGTACAGTTCCTGCAGAGAGTGATCTGTCTCCTCCGGACATCGCACTCGCGTCTGATCCTCCTCGTCCAGAAACTTCAGCTGCCTGTCGGAGACAAGTGGCTCGACGAGTACATGGACGAGACCTCCAAGTTCTGGGACGCATGCCACGTCATCAAGTCCGCCGTCTCCGCCATGGACAACTTCTGCTCCGCCGGAATCTCCATCGTCTCCTCCCTCCAAAAACTCAACTGTTCCCCCCCCCCAGAAACATTTCTTCACTTTTTGTCGAATAAAGTTCGCATTTTTATGTTTGCTGTTTTCAGGTGATTCGAGCCATATCCGGTTGCAGAAGAGAAGCAGTAGGGTTAGAGCAAGAGAACAGAGCTTTAATGGAGAATCGGGTCCAAGCGCTGCCGTTCTGGTCGGACCCGACATCATCGGCGGGGGTGATGGAGTCGTCGAAGGTACAGAACGGATTCAGCGGGTTTCGAGGAGTACTTAACGCGACGAGGAACATGAGCTCGCTCCTCCTGATGATCCTGATGCAAGGCCTCGTCTACTGTTTTCCCGGCGACCCCACAACACCGCAGCAAACGGCGGCGGGAGGAGGAGGAGGATTCACGGCGGCGATGGGGAGGATGAAGCAGAGGGTGGCGGCGGAGGTGAGGCTGAGGAAGGGGATACAGTTGTATGAGTACAGGAGGAGCAAGGCGGCCATGGAAGAGCTGGAGGAAGAGCTCGAGCGGAGGAGCGGAGAGGAGATGGAGAGGGAGAAGGTGGAGAGGGTGAAAGGGCTTATTGGGGGTTTGAGGGATGGGACTGAGAGTATTCTCTTTCAGATCGATGATTTCTTGGATGAAATTGTTGAAGGAAGGAAGAAACTTTTGGATTTGGCATCTCATCATAATATATAATTCATCATCTTAATCCAAATTCATGAATCTGTTTTTTTTTTGGGGCAATTTGTTGTTGTAAATTTTACTCTTTTCTTTGCTAAGCGATCTCCTTTTTGTTTTTTTCCCCCTATTTGAAGTTGACAACTACAAGACAAAAGAAGGGCTTACACCAACAAAAGAGAAAACAGTTGCTTACATATATATATATATATACACATATATATATAAGTATACATCACTTCACAAGAACTAAAAACCCAAGACAACCAAGAAGCATGTGTATTATATATGTGTACATCTAGTGAAAAACACATGAAACTTTTAAAAGAATTCTTTTGTTTTATTTTTTAAATTTCCAGAGTGTAGCCTCAGCAGTTGATCTAATGATCAAATTCACACGTCAATAGATAACAACATACAGACTAAAGGAACTTACACAAGAAAATAGAAGGGGAAAAAAAGAAATGGAGAGAGAGAGAACAATTTACCATTGGGTAAAAAGAATTTCTGCAAAGGGGCACTCATCAAATGGCAAAGGCAGGCATTTCATAGTGTGAAGCAAAGGCCTCGACTTGGCTCCTAAGCTCTGCAATTTCTTTGCTGTGTGAGAGGCTCTTGAGCATTTCCTTCTGCAACTTCCCATGCTCCCTTTGTGCAGCACTTGCTATCTGTGCCGCCTTGCATAGAAACTCCGCTATCGTCTCGAAATCCGATTCTACACAACCCCTCGATGTCATGGCCGGAGTGCCTGAAAACAAGTGTGTCCTGTCTTAACGTCTTGAAACCGAATAGCTTTTGTCTATGTGGATGGGCTTTGCTTACCGATCCTTACTCCTCCCGGGGAAATAACACCGTTTTCGTTGAAAACTGCGGTTTTGTTAAGCGTGATATTGCACATCTCACAGACTTTCTCGTACACCTTCCCTGAAATCAGAATGCCCAAGATTCAGAAATTTTGATATATACACAAATGAGCTAAGACGGGTCCGATAATAGATTGCTGGCCGATCATAAGCCATCATCATATGCCAGCTCGAGAGAGAAGGAAACATGAGGCATACACTTAAAATAACTGAGGAAACGGTCAAGCCCTAAGCCCGATTTCGTTTGTCATCAAGGCATTACCCTTTTTGATTCACATGATATCGAATCACGAACAATATCAATGACAAGAGCATGAAAAATTGATAACCTTTTGATTGAGAATCTGAACAAAAAGATTTTACCCACCTGTTAGGCCCAAAGGAGTGAGATCCCAGAGAACCATATGATTATCAGTACCTCCAGTGACCAACTTGCAATTCTTTCTTAACAAAGCAGATGCCAAAACCTGAGCATTTCTCTTGACCTGTTGCATGTATGCTTTGTACTGTGGTGAAGCCACCTGCTTCAGTGCAATGGCCAGAGCTGCTATATGGTTATTGTGAGGGCCCCCTTGCAAAGATGGAAAGACTGCAAAGTTTATTCTCTCTTCGAAATCGTAATGGCTGCTGCTGCTGCTATCACAGTGATTGAGATTCATGCTGTGCTTCCTGGGCTTCAACCCTCTCCTGTAAAATATGATTCCACCCCGAGGCCCACGAAGAGATTTGTGCGTTGTTGAGGTAACAACGTCACAGTAATCGAATGGATTTGAACATTCCTACAGTCAACAGCATAAATTTCATTACAACATAGCAAAACATTCTACCATGATCCACTCAAAATCTAAGAGAGACTATTGCAGATATATAATCTGTTGATGAATCTTGCTCTAAGTATGAACAATTCCAAGGATCAATGCACAAAAAAAAGAGATTCTCCAGTAGATAGACAACAATATGATATGATACAAGTTCACAACAACAACACAACAGATGCAGAGCTCTATGATAATGGGCTAAACTCAAGTTTCGTGACTGATAACCCTGAAAAGAACAAACAAGCAATCAAGCAATAAGGAATAATCTTCGAAGAATCGAACCTTGGTGGCCACGAGACCACTAATATGAGCCATGTCACACATCAAAACAGCTCCACATTTGTCTGCAATCTGCCTAAACCTCGAGAAATCCCAATCTCTAGGATATGAGCTACCCCCACAAATAAGTATCTTGGGACGGTAATCAAGGGCCTTCTCCTCGATCTTATCATAGTCAATATACCCAGAACGAGGATCAACCTTATAGGGAAATGTCTCGAAGAATATCGAAGATGCGGAGATCTTCTTCCCACCCGGAGTGTAATACCCATGACTCATATGGCCACCAGAGGGAGTATCCAATCCCATAATACGGTCACCCGGCATCAAAAGACCGGTGTAAACAGCGAAATTAGCAGAGGTACATGAATATGGTTGTACATTAACGCCCCATCTATCATGATGAAGGCCAAAAGCAGAAAGAGCGCGTTCATGGCAGAGAATCTCGATTTGATCGATATACTGATTACCCGTGTAATATCTCGATCCGGGCATTCCCTCAGAATACTTGTTGGTCAGATGACTACCCAAAGCTTCCATCACAGCCCGGCAGACGAAATTCTCGGAAGCTATCAGTTCGATCCCTCTGACTTGCCTCTGCTTCTCCTTCTCCATGATATCGTGGATTTCGGGATCAGCTTCCTCAATCGACTGGTTTCCCCATGCCCTGACGACGGCTCGTCTGGCTTCGAGACCCGGCTCGGCCGCAAACCTCTTGCTAGGGTTTTCTGATAACAAGAAGGGCCCATCTCTACACCGCTTTATCCTCATCGGATGACCCAATATGCTGAACTGCTCGTCTTCCCTCTGATCATCATCATCATCATCATCTTCCTCATCGACGGCGGCTCGATTACGCGATCGGGTCCCGTCGAACCTCTGCTCGAGCAACTGCAGGGGCACGGGAGGGATTGGGTTCATCGGAGATGATCGGAAGCTGGAGTCGATCTGAAGGGAGATGGAATCATCGGCGATTGGAACTCTAGGAGGCAAAGGCGATGCATGGGAGCTACTGAACCCCAAAGAGAGATCCGATTGAGCACGGAACAAGTCCATAAACAACGATAGGAGAACCAGAGGAGAAGCTTTTTAAGATCAAAATCGGAGAGGGATAATTTCAAGGGTCGGGCTAGAAATCTAAGGGGGTAGGTATAGAAGAAGAAGAAGAAGAAGAAGAAGAAGAAGAAGAAGAAGAAGAAGAAGAAGAAGAAGAAGAAGAAGAAGAAGAAGAAGCGGAAATCAGCGAAATCTCCCCCCTTTTCGATTCGATGCTTCTTCTGAGGTTTCAATTCAAACAACACACAAAACCCTAAAAGCTCAAAAGACGCAGAGAAAACGAATTTCTCATCATCACCTTCTCTCTCCAGAAAGAAACTTGATTGAGAAAATGAGAAGGGGAACTATAAAAAAAAAAGGAAAAATAAAAGATCTTCGGAGAGAGAGAGGGGGATCGAATACCTGCTGAGTCGGTAGAGATGGTAGAGAGAGAGAAGAGATTATGAACGTCGATTGGTATAGGGGCATCGTAAACCGGGAGAAGCCGGTTACTCCCTCCGTTTCATTACAGGGACACGTGGCAGAATCTAAAACAAATACTACTAGTGTCATTTTCGAGACAGCTAAAAAAAATATAAAAGCCGTAAAACGTTTAAAAAGGGGAGACAAAACATGGCTCCTCTCTTCTTTTGTTGTACACATCTATCACTCGTCCTCGGACTCGGACTCGGCGTTCTCGAGCCATTCCACGAACGGCTTGACATTCTTCCAGATGGTTGAACCCTTGTCGGTCCCTGTCGAACCCTTCTCGTACCATTCCATGATGCATTCCTCATCCACCACGTCTTCGTCGTACATTGCCTTGAGGACAAGAGCCACTTCTTTCACGGCCTCCTGGTTTGCTTTCCGGCAGAAGAACGACTCCAATGCACTGAGCAGCCGAATCTGCGACTTCTCCTCTTCCCCGGTCGAGGCCGCCATCAAGTAGTTCTTCTTCTTCTTCACCTCTTTTGCGAATCCCTTCCCGACCCCGTCGAAGAGGGCGACCAACATTGCATCCATGATGTCCTGAGGGGGAGCCGGAAGGAATGAGAGGAAAGGTTTGAGCTGGTATACGGGTAACCCCTTCTCGAGATGCTCCTTGATCTCCTCCACGAGGTTTTCCCGAGGGGGATTTGAGATTTTCCCGTTCTTCTTCTCATCTTCTGCTTCAGTTGAGAGCATCACCATCTCTGCAGTGACAGCACTCAACTGCTCCTTCATCCTTTGCTCAGCAGCCGCCCGTGACGTATCAGTTTGCCACTGAATATCATTGTCTTCCTCATCATCATCCACATTCTCATTCTCGTCACCATAGCTTCGAGGCGGTGACCTGTCCTCATCTGAGGCATGGTTTCCCTTCTTTTTCTTCAATGTCTTGGAAGATGCATCCTTTGAGTTAGTGGTCGTCGTTGTTGTTTTCTTCTTAGGCTCTTTCTTGAGCTTCTTCTGCTCCTCGTCGGCCACCTCGCCTTCTTTAAGTCTCTCCTTCTCGGCCCTTCTCATGGCCTTCTTGTCCTTTGCACCCTTTTTCTGCTCCGGGGGATTCTTCAGGATGAATGTCGTCAACTTCTCTCTCATGTCCACCTCCGAGATGAACCCACAAGCAGCGCATTTCAGATTGATCATCTGCGTCTTTGTGATTATTATCTCGGTCTCTGGGTTCCCACAGCCATAGCATTGGACGTATTTCTTGATGAAGTTCTCGAGAAGAGCGGCCAGCTTGGTGGTATTGTGGGCTCCATTCACGAGTGAAGTTCCAGTCTTGTCATCGAATTTGGACTGTGCCCCGAGCTCACAGCCAAAGTACTTGATAGTGTAAGAAGCTGGCCTACCCAATGCCTTGGCGATATCGACATTGTTGACAATGTTGGTCTTGATGCCATTACCTCTTCCTTCAATCTTGGTGACCATCTTTGGCATCTTATACCTATAGAAGGCATCACCACGGTTGGAAGCACCGATATTCTGCATCGCCATTTTGAGTTTGTCGGCAAAAACCTGTCAGAAAGGGCAGACACCTTCTGCAAACTGGGAAATCAGACCGCAATATTCGAAGGAATCTTCAGCTTGAAGATTTAAGAATCCAAGGACATGAAAGAACAGGCTGCTCTTTTTTCTTGATGTAGGACAGTATTTCCCAAGAAATCCAATGGTCGACAAAAACAGGGAAGTCTGATCAGACATAAAAGAATCTTCACACTCGATTCTCTCCACGTCCAAAGTACTGCAGCAGCTCCGGAAAATTGAATTGAAAACTTGTCCCCGTGGAAGCAAAGCACTGAAAAGCGACTGGACAATGGAACCTTCAGGCACCAACAAAAGCAAGATATCAAATACTAAACACAAATAGAAATTGCTCAAACATCATCACTGTTGCAGACATAGATTAATAAAGTATGAATTCCAATGGCTGTGTATCTGCGAAAACTAAACATGGTGTACTTATTTTAAGAATGCATCGTCTGAACCTAACCTAACAGGTCATAACCATGGAGAAGATTGACACACAAAAAACCCAGCTACCTCCTGATTGAGTAACTGTTAAGAAAAATAAGCCAATCCGATTTACGGCTGCTGATCCACGCAACAATCAGATAAGCCAGAATCCGAAGATAATTCAAAATTCAGAGGCAAAGGAAATACAAGAAGAAGAAGAACCACCAAGTAATCAAAATCTCCCGCGAAAAAAAGACTTCCTAAGTATGAGAAAATCACAATTCCAAAGAATCACAACCAAGATAGCGGAATCCCTAATCAGATTATCGATTTTGGTATCAAAACCCGAAAGAACGAACTCGATCGCGAAACCGAAACACAACCAGAAGATACGCATACGGAACGGAATCAAATTGAACTTGAAGATGAGAAACAAAGAAGATGGCAAGTTTACGGAGAAAATACCTTCACGAGACGGAAGAGAGAATAATGGAGGGAGAGATACAAATTACAAACTGAAAGTGGGCAAAGCGCACAAAGGCCTTTATATACGAAGCTGTCGTGAAATTAGGGCAAACCGACTCTCGTTTAATTACGTGCTAATCGTATTTATTATTAGTATGACTTAACCGACTTACCTTTTGTGATTTTACCATTTTACCCTTTCTTTCACTACTATTTTTCTTTTCTTTTCGATAGCAACAAAACAAACCCATAAAAACTAAAAAGCCCATGTGCTGTTCTTATATTGTTATCCAATGGACACCAACTTCATCATATAATCCTTAAGAGGACATATAACTATGATGAGTGCAATTTGCAAATGTACCTAAAAGGGGCAAAATAAATACTTGTCGGAACGCATAAAATACTTACACTTTCATATCTTATTTTCACCTCTTTTTTTTCAACCTTACAATTACAAATAGCAATACATTGATCTTTTTCGTAAAGGCAGGTATTTTTTTTTTAACCCTCAGTACCACAAATCTTAAAGCTTTTTTACCTCAGATGTTAACGATCAAAGCATATTTTACCACAAAAGCCAGCCAGCCACAGTTTTTGTTTTGTGAGCTTTCCTGTATAGCTGTTGTACGGAAGATTCCCCATTGACCGGGAGAAACCTTGGCCTTCAGTCAATCCCCCCATCCCGCTGCATGGCTCAACGGGTTCTGTTGCTTGGCTTGTGCCACAAGCTCAGTGGTTCACCTGTTAGGACATGAACCAGTAATGCCCCACCTAGACCTAGGGCAGGACCAGGTAGGCTTTACAGAGGAAAAATAAGACTTAAACAAGCCGAAATGTCGGCTTTAGCTTTTTACCCATCTTTTCCTGACTTGTCCTCCTCCCTTCCGGTGTCCTGTTTCGTCGATTTATCTTCTCGGAGGCAATCCACGGGAACGTAGAAGTACCCTTTTGGAAGCCGTCGATTCTTCATAGACGCTTCATCTGATGTCATCACCAGCTCTTTCGCGAATGTTTCCACTTGCTGTGACGATGGTGAATTGAAAGGTTCAACGTAACGAAACGTAAGCTAGGAAGACAGACAAAGACGTGAGTTTTCTCACCTTCTTGGGCTTCGAGCCTCGTTCTCCGTCTTCCGGACCACTTGGTGAGACTATACAGTGTCTACGAGGTATTGCTTTCCCGGACAACCTTTCTCCTTCAGTGGGCTTACGAGAAAACCGACTCTTGGAGGTGACACTGTCGTCGGTTTTCTGATCCAAATCTGTTAAAACGGGACCCTTTCCTCGGCGTTTAACAGAGAGAGTGCTGTCAATGGTTACATCATCTGACCTCTGTATTGCCTCGCTCCCAGACTTGTTACTATCTGGATGCCCTTTAACCGAAGTTGTAGCCGAGTCTGAAGAAACCTCGGGAGGGAAAAAGAGGCTACGGCCACGTAATGAACGCGCAGCAACGTCTTTCTTGACAGCAAGTACTTCATGCGAGGATATTACAAGCTCTCGCTGCAAATATAACAGTAAAATGTGAAAAGCTGTGTTCTAGAAATAAGGGGTCGAACATGACACCATAGGCTACATATTCTAGAAACGGGAACCTTTTATTTACCTTTAGTTTCTCACGCTTGACAATCCGTTCACACAGAAGGCGTAACCTCTCAAATTCAACCTAGAAGAGATCAGAAAAATTCTTAGAATAACATTCTGAATCGTTAATAAGATATTATAAAGTTTGTAATGAAATGACCAAACCAAGCTGCCTTTACTAGAAGTCGTACCCTATACTGCTTGAGATTTTTCATCTCCTCCGCACCATGTTTCTGAGTTTCAGCCTGCAAAAAACACCAAAGACAGCTGTTGAAACTCTTCGATAAGATTATCGTTTCACCAATTATTGGTTTATTTCTAAGCGAATGTATGCTTGTTAAGAGAATGAGACAAGTGATACGAATCACCTCTTGGACGTGACCCATCACAAAGTTATAAACAAAATTAAAAACAAGACCTTTGCCCTCTGCTCCACACTGTGCCTCTCGCAGTATGCCTTATGCAGAAGTTTCCCACCCCCAGTCATATAGAAGCCAGCACTTCTGGCACAGGAGGGATGAAATGTTGTCTGGCAATTACCATAATTACACTGCACAGGAAAAAAACGGTTCAATCTTATAACAAAATTTGGTAGAAGATACCTTTTAGAATGGAGAGCAACCGGTGAGGAAAATCACCTTGATGCATGCACCATGTTTCCGTTGGCATACACAACAAGTGTGCATGTTTACGGGCACAGACTCCTGTGGAAGCATTGACATGTTAACGTCAGCATAATCACAATTAATGAAACCCTAATTGTGATTTTCTATAGCGTAACGATAAAACCCACCATTCCATGGACAGGATCCATTTGTCCCCTCCTGAAGCTCGATTCCAAGATCCACTGCAAGAAGTTAAAAGCATAATTGTTGTTATTTGCATTGCTATCATTGCTAGATATTGCTTATAGCTGCTTTCAAATAAATAAGCAGCCTCACCTCAGCACAAAATGCATGGACCCATTGCCCATTCGTGGTTTTCCTAAAAGCACCGGTTGTGCCACCACAGAGAGCACAGTCCGCAGAAGAGGAGGGTTTTTCCCAAAAATTGAGAGGTCCAGAAGATCTAGACGAAGACAGTTCCAGACATAACTCGCAGTACCAAGGGCCGGTAGATTCTTTAGCAGATCTGTAGCAATCCAAGTGAACTGCAACCTGTACGGATAGGAGTTTTATCACATACCATAAAACACAAGCATATCATGCCCTTAAAAGAAAATGACACTTTAACGAAAAGGAGTAGAGCACTGGAATTGCATTTGACCTTGCAACTCGAGCATACTAATATCAGGTTCCATATAGTCTCAGACCGCCTGCAGATGTCACAAGTTCGCGGATTTTCCACCGAAAAATCTGATGTGCACTGATCGGAAAGCTTTTCAGATGGTGCCCCTGATACAGCCATCTTCAAAAGTGTTTCCTTTGCCTGTGGCAAAAGGTGAGAGCCACCACCAACCTTCCATCTAGAGGTGCTCGTCTGTGCCAAGTTCTGCAGACCAATTAAGAAAGAACCTTTAAAGATGAGATATGGAGCAGTTGAAAACAAAACAACAGGAAAAATCCCAAAAAAAATAGAGCTAAGAACCTCTTGTTGTGCTGGTTCTTCTGAGATATCTTTCCGTAGCAATGAGTTCCTGGAGGATGTTGCTGCTGCTGCAGTAGCAGCAGCTAGAACAGCCTGGGCTTCCTTGTGTCTTTTCTCTTTCCTACCTTGCTTCCTTGCTTCTCTCAGGTCATAGAAATATTTATTGACAAAGACATCATCCCATCTCCGTCCATGCTGCTCATCAATCTCCAATGGCAACTTCTTGGCAACTTCAACAACTAAATTGTCTGAGGAAAAGGGAACAATTAGCCCAAACAAGGAATAAATTATACCGCAAAGAAAGCATGAAGAAGTCTCACCTAGCAAAACAATTCAGAAACTAGAAAACAAAATATCAGTACTAATGAACATGCAAATAACAATTTACCACATAGTTGCCTTCTTGAAACTGCATTGGTAATTAACTGAAGCTGAGAATAAAACAGTTCTCCTTCAACTTCATCTTCGGGAGAAAGATCCAGTATACCCAACTGTTTAGCTTTAGACGATTGACTAAACATGCCATTGCACTCTGGGTGCTGATTCTGGTGATTATAACAGACAGTGCCACTGGATAAACCCTGCAGATGTTTGATTTCTCCTTCAGAACCTGTCAAATGCTTTCAAGTTATAAACTGTCAAAAAAGCTGTGAAATGAAATAAAAAAGCATCCCTACCATCAGATTTGGATGTGTTTCTATTGGCATCAGAATCAATGCTGATGTTCGGAATCACCCCCTTCCACATTTGTGACAACTCTTTGCGGACATATGGATGAACATAAAGCCCCGAGTTTGTTTCACTATCCCTGTAACACAGCACATAGGAGGTGGTTTACGGAATGCCAATTTAATTAATCCAAGAAATCAGTATGTTCTGTATCTGCCTGCCCAAGTGCAATTCCAGAGCTTACAGGAGATTCAAGATATCCCTTCCATGGTTACGAGAAGGATTCTGCCCCATAGAGATAGCATTCTTCAGTGTGACACCCTCGAGAGGACTGAGAATTGATGGTTTGGCATGATCATCTAAGCAACAGACGGAAAACAAGATCAGCAGAAGAGCTATATGAACACCAAACAAGATGATCAAGGATAATTCACACACCTACGAAACAAACGGTTGGACAGATATCTAGGGCAAATAGAATTAACCCAACAAAGGAAATCTTTTAAAGAGAATCGTTCATGGAAAATAGAAAGTACAGAAGTAACACTTCGCACCATCCAAACAATGCCAAATATAATATGTGCTGCCAGACTTGGGAGGATGACTCCATGATACAAGAAACGAAAATAGAAGAAAACTTTTTTTCAAGGCATACCATTATGATTAACTGAACTCTTCCCAAGATGATCCTCCCCATCAAGCACAACCGATTTCTGTAGATAAAGAGCAAAACACAGTCAAAAACTCATTTGCAAGAATATTGTATTTGTTAATGACATGGGGTGGAAAAAAAAGGTATTTTCCCTCAATCAAGCTTGGCTACATACTGAAACACGAATAAGAACACGACTGATAAGCAACATCTCTACAAGCAAATATCTGTAATTAAACAAGCATATACCAAATTTTTTATGGGATTACCTTGTCTTCATTACACTGCTCAGATGCCAGATTCACACTACTCTCATCCCCCTTGTTAAGTTTAGCTTTAACCTCACCGGCCACAATACCGTTACCAAGAGTATTATCAGCAGACACATTCGTCGTATTAGTTTTGTGACTTTTTCTTTCACTTTTTTGCTCGGAATGGACTGACTTTGTAACAGTGGGATCTGAGATATCACACACTTGCACTACCATATCCTCTGAACAAATAGGTGTCTCAGACTCGGACTTGGTTGAGATATTTTCGTTACTTTTGAACTTTCCACCATTATGCCAGGCACCCATGTAAGCATGCTTGCCCAGCCATTTAACTATTTTGACTCGCAAATCAGGCATCAAATTCCCATCCTACAGGTGAAACTGGAAAGTCAATTTTACCAAATTCCCCAAAGATATCACACAGTTGAACCAACAAGTATGATGCTTTCAGAAAACAAAGACTACAAGAATGAAGTTGTGTGCATTACTGTAAGTGTGGAAATCAATGCGTCAGGATTTATGCCAACCTCTGCAGCCACATCCTTCACATCCACTTTCCCTCGATCAATCAACTAGAAACGACAGTGAAAGGGTTAGCCATAGAGTTAACAGGTACACACAATTATTCTTTAAGAATATACACATCTGTGAAGCACCTTTTTCACAATCAATCCAAAACTAAGAGACTCAGACAAAGCTATATCCTTGAAGCTGCTTTTCCCAGATCCCCCTGATTCTACACAGTCCGGCACAGACCCATTCAATTTAGAACAAGGTGATTCCATCTCTTGCAATTCACTATTTCCTGATATATCAGAACTCATACCAGGCCTTGCTACATCAACTGCCATCTTATCATCAATAAGGTGGCCTTCTTTAACAGGTTCTGATGGATGTTGAGAGCCAAGAGAACGACTATCAGCTGTGTTACTTTCTCCTCCCAGCATAGACCTTCCACTCTCTCGACTATCTGAGTGCTTTGAGCAGAAAGCCCTTAATTCAATCTACAAGTTTTATCACGTTATCAATGAAAGTAGCAGCATTAAGATCTCTGACGCTATACAATGAGTAACGAAACTTACAGTATCACAACCATGTTTTCCCCAGATCTCTAGCCGATTTCCTGCCTCCCTTGCACATATAGGATGAAATGATGTTCGACATGTTCCTAAGTTAAAGACATTGCAAGAAACATTCAACCACCAATAGAACAACCACAACCAAGGAAAAAAACCGAACATAAAGTTAAATTAAGATGAAAAGTTCAACGGTAACTTCATGAAGCAGCTAGCTTCGAGTGAGTGAGAGCAAGAAAGAGCATCAAGATTCAAGACGTACCATTACTACATCGAATGCAAACACCATATTTCACCTTGCACAAGTTACACACTAACTTCTTTCGAGTTTCTTTTATTCCTGACAAATTCAAGATAGGTTCCATTTTTTTCAAGTCATCTATATATGCCTCAGGCATCCACTGAGAACAAAAGAGGTGAGCAAACTCAGAAAGTTCCCCGTTCTCAGTATTTGTAACGGCAGGTTTCAAGGCACCACCCTTTTTTGGACAGAGCACACAGGGTCTTTCAGATTCAGTTTGACCACTCTTCTGCTTACACCAAGTGCACAACCACGATTTATCTACATCCTCGATCACACCGTAGCATGTTTTATGAACTGTTGCCTTGCAGGAATTGCAAACAATCAATTGGTCAGGATACTCCTTGGCATCACCAGTGCAGCAAAAGTCACATAACAACGCATTCCCTTCACAACGACAGACAACCATTAATTTTCCCAAACCTGCATCACTACCAAGAAGCCTCCGCTTCTTTGAAGGCCTCTCAGTTGTCAACAAAATCCTATTTCTACAGCCTAAAACCCATTCTAAACTACCGGAGTAATCCAACCCAGAAGAGACGATAGCATCCCTCTTCAAGCTCTCAGCTCCCACATTGTTAACATCCATTGGCAGCTCAGCATCTTCTTTGAACTCTTCTTCTTTGACATAACCTTCATGTACCTCGTCTTTAACTATATCCTTCACTTCTTCAGTAACAACCCCAATGGCACTGACAGTATCCACATTCTGCACAAACTTTTCAGTCGCATCGATTTCCCTCTGCCCCGTCCTAAAGGATTTGCATCCGAAAAATGGTACAGAAAAGCAAGTCCCAGAACGTAAAGACCGAAAAGACACCAAATTCGACAGAGTTTCTATATCGGGCAAATCTATGCTCCTAAAGTAGTCTTCGCGCTCGACCCAGATGCTCCCGCCTCGCAACTTCTCCCCTTGCCTCGAAGACTTCTTCTTCTTCTTACTATCTGCACCAGAATGAGACCTCTTGTGCCGTTTCCTGCTATCAGAATGCTTCAACAAATTCGCCAACCCAATGGGCAGAGTGGGAACACTTAGGCCCGAAGTGGACCCATCTTCAGGAACATCAAATGGAGACCTCTCGCACAGAGTTTTGCTCGCCTGAGCTAAGAAACCGACTTCCAGCGAACCCGAATCCTCGGCGGCGGCGCCATTGCTCAGCTTCTCCTTCTCCGGCCACGCTCTGCAAAATGGGCGGCAAGGCCCCTCCTTGGCACCGCAACCTCCGTCCGCTCCCCTACACATCATCTTCTTCGGCCACTGGCATTGGTCAACGTTCATAACCGACACAACCAACTAGCACAATCGCACGCCAAGTCCATCCAACTCAAAAAACTCCTAACCCTAACCCTATCACCAGGCTCAGAGACGACACCGCCCCCAATTTTCCCGGAGAACAGGAGCACCAGCGGCAGAAGAATCAAAACCCTAACCCTAATTCCTGAGCCTAAAACCTAACCCTAGTCTAGCTCCCGCACCAATATTCGCACCGGAGGAATACAACGATACAGAAAGAAGAAGAAGAAGAAGAGGACGAAGAAGAAATAGGATTAGGGTTTCTCGGAATTTCTCTGGTTCATGTTCTTTCGGATCCGTGTCACGACTGGTTCGGTTCTTTTTTTTTTTCCAGAGAGATTTTCGCGTTATTTGCAGGCAACAGAGGAACGGTTCGTTTTTGGCATAAAATTTTACAATCCCGCGGATATTATAGGGAGTAGTGAGGCGTAGGGTTGTATTCGTGCATCTCCTTAGCTTTCGACACGTGTCTTGTTGTCATTGGTTAAATGATTCACGGGCTCGTTTATTCTTTTTATATACCGTACGGATTGTTTTCCCTTTTCCCTCTGAATTTCCGATTTTTAGTGTTCCCATGAAGTTTTCTTACGGGGGAATTGCTATATGGTCCCTCATTTTATATATTATATCGAAATAATACGCATATTTTATAAAATTTCAATTAGGTCTAAATTTTCAGGACTTTAATGTAAAAGTAAAACCGGTCCACCAACATTTATTGGAGTTGTTGGTGCGATGGTGTTAGTTTCTAAGAAGTGCGGATTCGTAATACTATGAATGTGAAACTGATTATATAAACTTTTAGTTTCTATCCCTATGATAATAGATGTTTCCATTTATTGAATATCTTTGGTAATAATTTTCCGATTTTGTTCCTATGTGTATTATCCAAATATTGGAAAATCTACTCTTAGTTGAAATTTGAAAAATGGTATCTTATCACTCTCGATTGGGAAATAAAGCAAGATTTGTATCTATTTGTTGTCTTATATGTAAAATATGCAGAGATTAGTCAAGAAAATATTCACATTTTGATAATTTTACAAAATTAAATTTTAAAAAATTAATTGCTAAATTCCATGCTTCCTAAAATTACCCATTTAATAATGGAAATATCCTTTTTACACAAATAGCATGCGCAAATTTGATGCGTATAAATGTGTATGTCCTCATGAGTGCTGTAACTTGTACGTACTAGGAAACTTGTTTAGTCTTTCACTAACTCGCTTCTTACAGTCAAATCATCATGAATTCTTCCAAACCGGCCGGTTTAGCTTTTCTTATGGTTGTTGTCCTCTCCGTCCAATCCCTCTGCCGTACCGGTAAGTCTAAAAACCAAAACTATATTCTAACTTGGTTATTGGTTTGAACTTTGATTCTTTCTTGGCAAAGATGAAATACGGTACGAATTTGGATGGGTTTATTATCCAGATTTCATTATTTTATGATCGAGAACGAAATACGAGAGTAAACGAGCTAAAGTTAGAGGTTGACATTTCGAATTTTGGTTCGATAACGATCTCTTTTGGTTATTTTGGTTTAAAAAACTATGAACCTTATGTTTCATAATTGAAATTAGTTCGGTTCAAATCATTTTTCAAATAACTTCCGTTTTTTCTTTAATTAGTTCAAATTTTTTTCGAATTTAGATAAATTATACACTTCAATTTTTATCTTATACTCAGATGGATTCGAATACAGCTATATGTTATTTGGTTTTCGATTGATTATTGGTCATCCTAATTAGATTGGTAGCTCGGTAGCAGATTCGGGTCGAATTCTGGTTTGATTTCGATTCGGTTTATTTCAGTTAAACCGACACTAAAAATATGTGTACGTTTTTCCTCAGGCGTATCGGGGGCAATTGTCGGAATATGCTACGGTCGTAACGGAGACAATCTCCCGTCACCGGCCGACACCGTGGCTCTCTACAAACGGATCAAAGTGGACGCAATCCGAATGTACGAACCATTCGCCGACATGTTCGAAGCTCTTCGTGGGTCGGGCCTTATGGTTGCTTTTGGGCCACGAAACGAAGAGCTTCAGGCCATGGCCCAAGACCCATCAACGGCCCAAAAGTTTGTGAACACGTGGATCGTACCTTACAAAAACGACATCGTTTTCAAGTGGATCACCTTGGGCAACGAGATCATTCCCGGAGACATCGGCCCCTTCGTCCCCGGCGCGATGCGAAACGTTAACGCCGCGTTACAAAAAGCCGGCGTTTCAGGAATCGCGGTCACGACGGTTTTGGCCGCAACCGCGTTGACGAACTCTTACCCGCCGTCGGCGTCGCAGTTCGTCCCTGACGTGACCGAGATCATGACGGAGATCGCATCGATTCTCTCCCAGACGAACTCGCCTCTCATGGTGAACATTTACCCATACTTCGCCTACGCCTCGGATCCAGAGGATATCTCGCTCGACTACGCGACGTTCGGGCCGAATGCGACGGAGTTGGTCGACGGATATCTGAGGTACCACAACCTGTTCGAATCGATGGTGGACGGATTCAACGCGGCGCTGGAGAAGATCGGAAGCGGAGGAGTTAGGGTTGTGGTGGCGGAATCTGGATGGCCGACGAGAGGGAATGCGCCGTACACGAGCGTGGAGAACGCGAGGAAGTACCACGTGGGGCTGTTGAGCTACGTGGTTCAGGCGAAGACGCCGAGAAGGCCGGAAACGGATGTCGACACCTTCTTCTTCGAGATGTTCACCGAGGATCTGAAGCAAGGAGAGGTTGAGCAGAGCTTCGGGCTCTTCAATCCTGATATGAATCCCGTCTACGAATTCTGGTCTCCTGCCGTTTAGTTCTTGTTAGTTTGTTAAACAATTCAAATAATTCTGGTTACGAAATTTTTAATTATTATTATTCTTTTTTAAACTGTTGATGTGTCATATCAATAAACAAGAGTTAAAATGTTTATTTTATATGAAAATAAATAACAGAATTTCTATTTTTGTAGACATTTTTGCATGAATTTTTAAAAAGTTGGAATGTTTCGTGGGATCATTAACCTTAAAAAAAAATCAAAATAATAAATTATAGGTTTATCTAACGTGGGCCTAAACATTTGTTCGTATGAAATCCTTGTTTGAGCCCAATAAGAACCCAAGTTTTCAGGCCCAGATTTCTCTGAGGCCCATTTTATAGATTATTTTTTTATTTTTCTTTTTTTTAAAGCTGACTGTTAGTTCACTTTTTTTTGTTACATTGTTGACAGGAGGGCTACGCGTTTCGGTTCGGTTCTTTGGAACCGGACCGAACCGAACCGGTAAAACGGTATTTTTTCCGACCCGAAATCGCTATTATTTTCTATACGGTACTATTTTTAGAGAACCGAATTTTTCCTGAACCGAATCGAATCGAACCGATACCGAAACCGAACCGAACCGAATACAATAAAAAAATCCGATTGGTACATATTTTTGTAAAACCGAAAGAACCAAACCGATCAATTCTGTCCCGAACCCGAACCGTTTCCCGAAACACCCACCCCACCCCTCGTTTACAGTGGAGCAGTTAAACTAACAAGGAATGTCGTATCAGGTTTTGCCACGTGGCAGTTCATAGTTAGAAAGACACCTCTCTTTCCCGACTCGTTGCCTCCGCATATTATTACTCATAAAATCGCAGATTCGAACATGATTTTCGAGTCTTTGACCAGAAAAAAAGTTTTTTTTCCTGATAAGATTAAGAACGAAAATGGTGAAGGAGAATCCGAGGGAAATGCAAGGAGTGATCATCACCGTATACGTCGATCGCGAAACCACCGCCGTCCGATCGTCTCGTCCGATTCCGGCGAACAAGAATAAGATCGTGCGGCGGAGATTAACCGATGAGACCGGAAAGACACGTGGCAGTGATCGGAAGGCCCGTCTCCTCGCGTACGCTAGGGAGCTCCGCGCGGCGGCGAATCTCGCCGGAGATAGCTACGGGTCCCCACGGGCCGAGGTATCTTTTTTTAATAATATAAATTTAGATTTTCTATACGCAATTAATGATTTATGGGTTAATTAAATTAAATAAAAAAAAATGACAGCAGAAGGAGAAGAAGAAGAAGAGGAAGAAGAGAAAGTGGATAAGGAGAGTGGTGGCAAGATTCCGGCTGCCGTTTCTCCGTTTATTTCGTCGGAAAAATCCGACGTGGCGATACCGCCGGTTTGTTCCCGACGGAGAAGAAGAGTCAGTACCACCAAGAAAGAGCAAAGCGTGCGATTCGGAGTTTTGGGTATTTTTCTTTGGACCCTTAAATTTAATTAATATTTTTATTTTAACCCCATTGTTTATAAAATAATCATATCGCATTTTTTTTCGTGACTAAAGAAGAAGCTTAAACATACGTTGGGAGGAATATCTCGGTGCGGATGCAACAAAAGATCTTTTGTCTGATTCGTATTATTAAGAAACATTTTCCTTTTTTATTTTGTTTTCCAAAGATTTTGTGAATTAATACAAACAAAAAAAATTCAGACATTGGAAGGATCCGAAGAGGTTAAGGTTTATGATGCTTGTTTGAAAAACAATGTAGAGAAGGACAATCGACGAGGAAACAGCGCAGAAGATTTATCGTATTGATGACCGTTTTGGGGGTTTGATTCCGTTTTCAATTTGGTTTATCTGGTTATCAAGAATTACAATCAAACGGTTATATAAATTAAATCGATGTGATCCGCTTCGGTTTTAAAACGGTTTGATTCGGTTCGGTTTTTTCAAAATAATATTATAATTGGACGATATGATTCGTTTGATTTTAGATCAGTTTGGCCGAAAACACCGGTTCAATTCGGTTTATGAATGAATAAAAAATGAAAAAAAAATACAAATGCAAAAACCGTGATAACAATTAAATTGCAGTTTTCTTCAAAAGGGTGTTGTATTGCTTCAGTTTAATAAAATAAAGATGTAATAAGTGTGTATAATAGATCTTAAAATAGGGATTTAATCAAGATGTAAAAAAAATCTTTTTAATTCATTTGATAATTCTTCATGAAATTCTAAAAAAGAATCATGAAATAAATAGCAATATTTACTTCATATATACTTACTTACATATACAAAACAATATATATATATATATATATATATATATATATATATATATATATATATATAATATAATACATACGA